ATAATGTCATCGAAGATGAGGTACTCGTTGATCTGCAAGTTTTGGACTCCCTGTTGAGGCTTGGTACCCAGCGTGATGAGCTTCAAAGTGCTTGCGCCTTTGGTGTTCGCGACACTCTGAAGACGTTTGAACAGGGCTTCTTCTCCTGCTGAGCACTCATCTAGACCGTCTATGACGAAGATAAGGTCTTTGGCGCCTGGGAGGTGGGCTGTCACGGCACGCTCAACGGCCTGCCACAGGATACTATCGTACTCGTCCTCGGTGGTCATTCGGACGGTGCGCTCAAAGGCTTCAGTCAAGATGTTGAGCAGCTGCACGTTGCCCGTGCGTTTCTGGAACAGCTGGTACAACAACGACTTGCTGACCGCGCGGGGAGTCGTCTCGCCAGGAACGCGACCATCTATGATACTTATCAGTATTTCGAATTTAGACAGAGAGGACTGAACAGGATGATGCTTACTAATTGGTACGAACAGGGCGTTGTAGGTCACACCAGCAATGGGATGTTGCAGATAGTCGAAGATGACAGAAGCCAGTACCGTCTTTCCGGACCCGGGGGGGCCGCTCAAGGCCATAGTCTTGTGCGAACCCTTCAGAAATCGGGTCAGGTAGGCCCCGATGTAGAGGCAAGTCAGTTCTTCACGGTCATGGGCCAATTGCGAAGTCGAATTCACAACGCGTGACAGCACTTGGTCCTCCGGAGCGATCCACGCCTTGATCGCCCGGATTTGAGAGACTGGCAAAAAATAAAGTCAGGTCAAGTTCTGGTGGCGTTTTGTGCGTGGGCTTGAACCTACCTCTGCTCTCTGTGACTCCCTCCTTCAGAAGCTGGTGCTGCCACATCAGCTGGGCCGTCTTGTCGCATCGTTCCAGGAAAGTCCTAATCTGGGTCGGAAAGGTGGAGTAGATGTTGACCGAGACTGAAGTGGTGGTCTCGCCAATGGCTTTGTGGAAATACGTAGCCACGCTTGCGACCAGGGACACCAGATCGGACAACGCGAGCACGAGCTGCTCGCGAATCTCTTGGGAGACACTGAAGAGTTCGATGCGTTCGAGCAGGTTTAGAAGCGGAACGGACATGCTGTAAAAGAATCCAAAAGAGATCATCAGAGCACGGGCATTCTCCTTTCCGAGCTATGGAGCCACCTCTGTTAGTCACACCGTGAGAATTCTAGTCGGGCATTCGTAAGCACTTACCTCGAGAAGGAGTGAACAGTATCCATAAGCAAGCTGGGCAGCGAGATAGCTGTCTCCGGCAAACTCCTGGATGGCATACTCAAAGGAGTGAAGGCGGTTGGAGAAAAGCTGAGCCCATGCGAGGACCTTGTCATAGCTGCTGCCCTCTGGAGGCAGATCAGTCATGCGCTGGGCGCTGATCCACTCGAGTAGAGACTCGTGCGTGGCGCTAAAGAGTCGCGCCGAGATATTGGACCCCAGCTCCTCAGAGCTGCGTCTTTTGATCGAATACACGACATTGGAAATGTTGGAGACGTTGAGCATTGAGCTCTTGCGAGAGAAAAGCCGCTGGCTCATAGCCCGCTGGCGGCTCTCGACCGTCTCGGATGAGTACTCTTCATCATAATGCTGGCCGTAGACAGCGCTGGCATTGCGGCTGGTCTTGGAGGAAGCGGAGCCAGTGGCGAGTCCGTAGGGCGCGGAAGGCAGCTGGGGAGAAAGCGTTCCGGGGGCCATCTTCTCTGGTGAGCTCAACACCGAGTACAAGTGGAGGTCGCTGTGCTGGCTAATGGGATTGATTATCGTGGCGTGGATATTTGGGTGGATGTTGACGTATTGCAGCTGGCTGTCTTCGATATGTGCTCACTGTTTGACCACAACTGGCGATATAAGTCTTCGTGAAAACTCGGGCTGCCTGTTTAGACCATCAGTTAGTATATGCTAGCCTCTATGATTTCTGCGTCGTGGAGCAGTAAGAGCGTACTCAGGCAGTATATTGGAGAGGTTGAGACCACAGGGTATTAGATGAAAAGTAGAGAAAATAGCGAGCCGCGGTCATGAAGTGATCGTGTGGGTATTCTGGGTGCCGAAGGGATCAAGACCTCGGTATACACGTTTTCATCCGAAATGGATGAGCCTGCATGGACGGGACACTCAAAGCTGGGTACATAGATTTATATGCTTCTGCTCCCGCCTGCTTCGCGTCACCATGTACCAAACACGGGATGGGAGGCCTACAAACGTCCTTACCTTTCGGTGACATGCCCAAAACCGGCATGGGTGGTTGGCGATCGGAGGCCTGTGACGTTGATGGCGGAGAATGACCTAACTAGGTACATATGCAGTGCCTCATTCGGATCAAAGTCGCGTGCTAGCGCTATGCTGTTTTCCATTGCAGTGCAGATATTCCCTCATCAATCGACGTTGCCAGACCTCACGCATACGAGCTGAGTGCTCGCTGCTACCAGGAGACCTTAGCGAATTGATCACTTCGGCGCCCCCGGGATGTCTCCCGGGCCTCATGCGTATGCCGAGCATGTCTTACCCAATCGCTCCCTCAATGGAGTGATCTGCACGGATGACAAGCGTTCCGCAACGCAGTCTTGCGACGCCCAACCGTGCCCAAGTCGAAACTGCTTGCGAGTTGCTCTGGCTTTACAACTACTTCCGGCGTTGTGCAACGTCAACAAGCTCTAAATCGCCACCATGGAAGAAACGGAAATTTAGGCACGAAAAGAGCGCAGGACAGCAGTGAACGCCCAGGACGTTGAGTGAGAGATTACTCGGGCAATGTGGCACCATTCCCAAAGATTTAACTTTGGACAGTGGGAATGAATCAGTAGGACTCTGGTCATCGAGATTGGCCCCTTGTTGGCGACCTGGAACGGAAGCACGATGAGGAAGACAAGTTCTGTGGCGTTTATTTCCTTGCCGTGCCCTGTGAAGTTGGGACGGTAGAAACTGGATGCATTCTCTAGTGAAGCTCAAGCTAACCAGCACCAATCGGACGACCCGACAGCTCTATTATGAGACAAGAGGGGACAATAACATTCCGCAATGGACAGGTGCACTCTCGAATCAATGATAGCCAAGAAATGTCGCGGCACGCTAGTGCTGTTCGCGGCAGAGACTTCCGCGCTTACGCATACAGTGCCACCGTGAAGCTTCAATTCTGCATGGCCCAGGCATTTCTGCGATGGAGATCTATTGAGCCTGCTTCGGGCACAAGGAGGGGTTTCTGCATTGTGGAGGACGCTTGCGCGCACCGTATGTAAGAGATGATAGTTCAACGAAACCATGGACATGCTTGTCGCCGCGGACGGCTGGTCGGCCATGTCTCTCATGTCATGCTGGGGCTTGGGCAGCTGAAAGCTGCATTTGCTACTTTAAACAAGGCACCATTGCAAGCTCGTCTCATGCGGCCGCGCTTCTGCCCTTATACAATTATAAATCTTCCGGTGCACGCCGTGCGATTCCACCACCCCCTTTTCGGCACGCGACGTCTTAGTCCTCTTTAGCGACAAATGTCCTCCACAGCCCTTATCATCGGGGAGCGTCAGGAGCCCCCTAGCTTAACACTACCAGAGGCCAGAAAGCATGCCCAGGTGTCAAAGAGAACTAGCGACATGCTAGATTCTTAGAGGCAGGGGCATCTCGACTGCTGGTGCTAAGCGCAACTTAGCCTCCCGGCAGATGGAGCGATAATCATTGCGGAAGGGCTGTAAAGCTTGTTGACGATCAGCGGCTCGTGCCGAGCAGCCCCACACCAAGATACCTATCAAGTATGCGACCAGACCAGCTAGCAAAGTATCGAAGCTCCATCTTGAGCCAATGACGTTGGCAATAATGAATGTTCGTGGCGGGAGTGCATGTCAGGACTGCAAGCCATGGATGCTTCTGATCACATCGCTACATCCTGCAAGCTGCAAGTTGTACAAAAACCTGTGACGAGGTGGCTGTGGTTGTTCTTGGCGCCCCATACTAGCCATCAGCTCGTGCAAACGAGGCTAGCTGACGCATGCCGTCATTGGAGCTCTTGGTGTTGATCGTACGGCAATGCCGATGCAGCATCGAATGACAGCAATTTGCCGCAGATGAGCTATTCCGGACTCTGAAAATCATCTCCGATCCTTCGTAGACGCCAAGATGCAGGGCAAAACGGAGAAGCTCCCAACGAGGGCACGGAGCTGGAGGACAATGGTGACGCATGTCTCACAGTTTCGCGAAAACCCCAAGTGTTCGCAGACACCATGTTGGCTGGTGCCACACGCATACGCAAGCATGACAGGATCAACGTCCCAGCACGGTGGGAGCCCTGAGACAGGTCGTCGGGGCAGTGAAACCACTCCCTTCTCATGGGGAAAACGCCAAGGTGAAGAAGGTGAGACCGGAGACTGGGAGATATGTCTACGAGACCGAGAAGGCTCCGGTACGTATTTTATGGAGAATTTTCAGGGATTAGAGCCAACAATATCAGACTCTGCGGAGAGTACATCGAAATGCACCAGAAGCTCACTGCAGCCAGAGTACCGGTGATCGGCAGAGATACTTACAGTCGCGGTTCGAGAAGGGCATTTACGCGTCTCCACTCAGGTACCTCGATGGGCGCCGGGATAAGGTGGGACTACGAAGTACCGGAGCCTTCTCGGTCTCGCAGACATACTGCTGGGCCATAACGGCTAGTACTCTCCGCTTTGGGCAAACAAGGTATAGCTCCATGGTGCGTGAATTATGTGATGTGCAGAAACGAGTCGATAGCTCCAGACACTGAGACCAGTCAGAGGCAATATCTGCAGTCTTGTGGGCCGGTGAGACATACAACGCGCCGACCCGTGCGTCTGCATACGGTCGTGCCATAGCATTGGATGCCTCAGCGGGCGGACGGGGCATCCCGTCACGGCGCTAATGCAAACGCATCACACACACACCACCTTTCTTACGTCACCATGCCAGAAGAAGCGATACCCCGCACCCTGTAGCTCGCAGAAGCTTCATCCAGCCGCTTCCTAATGCACACGTCACGCCATTGACACTGCCAGGGGAATGTGAGACATTGGAGGAAGAGTGCTGATCACAGACATAAAATTGTTGAGTTTGAGGCAAATGCTACATATGTGGCACGGGACGTAACAGAGATCATCCCTTCTCTGCTCTGGTTGCAACAGGATCCCTGTCATTTTGCATCGCTAAATACCTGGGGCCGGTGAATGCAAGAGGGAGACAAAATCTGAGCCGCACCTAACAAAGCCTACTTAGCAGCGGTTGATGATTGTGTTCCAGCCTCGGTCAGTGGAAAAGATCTGCAATTCAAATTGTGAGCCACTTTTCCCCAGGGAGCATGCAGGCGGCAAACAAATCCTTACCTGTCCCCGCACCACGTCGTTGTTCTGGCACTTAATCATCACCTCGACAGCGTTGCTGTTGGACAGGGCAGAGTTAGCAAGAGAAGTACATATTGCCCGCTGCGGACTTGGGCTCTTATTGCACTCACTCTGCCACGAGTCGGCAAGGCACGTGGAGCTGGAAGTTGTAGTCGTTGCACAGCCAGATGGACGACTCCCCCGCGCAGCCAGTGTTACTGCACCCACCTGCGCCTGGCCTTCCTGGAGGGGCAGCACAGTCGCCATTGCCAATGTTGTAGAGATATCTGATGACAGCGGCGGTGTTGAGAGCGCTGACCCAGGTGCCATAGTTGCACGTGTAATCCTGGTGAATTTGCAAAGTCGTCAGCACTTGTCTCTCCATGAGTCCGGTGCTTTCACTTGCGAGCATTATGGCCGGGCTCACCGCAGACGCCACATCGTCGCGCGCGCGTTTCTGGCCTCCTCGTACGACTAGTATTCTGACTCGTTTCCGCCCTTAACTGCTCCGTCGCGTCGATTTGAGCCTTCAAATCCTTTGCCTGATCAATTGTTAGGGACCCTCCTTTCTGTAGCTGTTTTCTTTTCGTACGACGACGGCGGCTAAGGCGGTCATTTGCATCTCGAAGTTCGGCGAGGTCTTGGCGCATAAGGGTCTGCTCGTGTACCATCATTGTGATTCCTTTATTCAGCTGCCGCAGGCTCTCAATAATGGACGACGGAGAGCTATTCTGGTGTCGTACGATGCGATTTTTGATATACTCCGTCTGCGATTCGGCCTCAATTGGGTTATTCGGCGTCTTTGAAACCCATGGGGGTGGTAGTCCAGCAGAGGAACCTGGCGGTGTCGGCGTATGAAACTTCATATCTAGCTGCGAAATCACAGAATTCGGGTCGTACGGTACTAGGCCAGTTGCTCTAAAGCCTACCTAGATGTTTAACTTTATTATCGTAGCGTCGTACGCCTTATAAAAGGCTGGGAGGAAGTCCTCCTTTGAGATGTGGGTAATATGCGCCCGCATGAGACCCTCGATTTCTTTACCGTACGCCCGTTTCAGAGGGCTAAAGCACCCAACATCGAGAGGCTGGAGCTTATGTAATAAGTGAGCAGGCATACAGAGCGTTACAATGTTCTGTTCCTTGCAGTAGAGCTCGAAATCGACGGAATGGTGGCTCTCGTGGCCGTCGAGGATGAGGAGGCGGTGGGTGCCCTTCGTACGACTCTTCGTATGGAAATCGAAGTGTTTTACCCATTCTAGACCTCTCTCGTTCGTCGTCCAGCCGTTCTCTGAAAGCGCAATTACCCAGTCGGCCGGTAGAGGGCTATTCGCGGTTCAGGAGTCGAGGTGGACCTTCCCCGCGAAGATGATATATGGTGGGATCGAGTAGCCGTACGACGCGATACCCTGGATTACTGTAACCCATTCCTGATTGCCTTGTTGTACGGCTCTTGGCCTCCCGCGTCGATCGGAGGTCGTAACGACAGTTTCGGCGGAGATCTTACTCATCGCGAAGCCCGTTTCGTCGAAGTTGTAGATGTCGTCATCGTGGATCCTGTATTTCGCGATTATGTTTCGTACGAGCTCAAACCACGCGCGATACGCGTCCGGATCCTCGCAGAGGACTCTCTGGTAGTCGATTCTTCGATTAAAACGCGTACGGAGCTCAGGTCGTCGTCGTACGACGTTTGCAGCCCAGTTCTTTCCAACGCGTGGCGCGTCGCGTTCGCGGAGGAGTCGATCCGCCCTTTCTCGAACACCACCAAGTCGGGGTGGAAACGATCGCGAATCAAGGTCGATTATGTATTGTATGATACTGTCCTCTTCGTACGAGGCCAAATTCTGGCAGGGTGGTCGGATATCGCGTTTCGCAGCTTGGCCGTTCCGTCGTCGTGAGAGGGTCGCATGGGATACATTATAGAGTAGTGCAGCCTTTCGTACACTTAATTTTGGGTCAGAATGGAGCGTATTAAGCGCTAGGACTAGGTCGCTTTCATTTGATTGTCGTCCCATTATTGTTGGTGGAGAAAAGGAGGAAAGAAAAGGAGCAATTAACAATGGGCGGAAAGTGTCTCATTCACTTGGGTGTCTCAGTCACTTGTGGATTACGTTACATCAAACTACAGAAACAAGAGATCCAACCATATCAAAGCGTAAACCAAATGAAAGATCGTGCGTAAATCTGGGACCAGATCAGAACCCTGGACCAAGGATCTCACGTTCCAAAATGTGCGCGGAAGTCGTCTCCATGTTTCGTAAAACGTTCGAGAAACCAATCGAGACAGGCTTCGTCATCTTCTCCCCCAGCCTCGCCTAGTCTTTCGTAGAAAGACTGTATTTTCTTAAGCACATCATTGACGGTTGATTGTTCTTGGAGGTCAATGTAGTAATCCTCAGTATCATGATAGTTTGATAGCCATAGTTTAGTCTTCTTGGAAAAAAGAATATCGTCGAGATTGAAAGCAAAAAATCTAGCGTTTTCCTCTTCTATACCATATATTTCCGCTGCCTGCGGCTCTTCGGACAATTGCCAGTTCCATGAGCGTTCCCACAGCTCCATAACCTTTCGGCCACTTAGAATTTTGGTGAAATGCTCAATGTCCATTGTTTCTCCGCGGAAGGTATCGACCGCGAGGGCCAGTGACACGTGCATTGCTTCGTCACCTCTTCCAACCCCCTGGAGTATGTGGCTTCCAATAACAGCTGCGAGCTGTAGATAGTGAAGACCCTCTTTCTTGGACCGCATTTCCAGGATTGTTACTACCTCTTCGACTCTCCACTTCTGATGTATTTCCCCGAGTTCCTTTCTGGCTTCCTCCTTAGATGGAGGGCGTCCAGATTGAGTATGTTTCCTTATAGCATGCCAAAGAAGGTGAAGGGTTTCTATATGAGACCAGGCATCAATCTTCTGCACTAGCTGACGGAGAAAGGCTTCGAATGTTTCTCTCTCTCGAAAACGCTTGATAGTGTGCAGTTCACCTTTTCCAATCACGTTCATAGTTCGTAGGAAGAGAAAGTTTTCGCCCAGGCCAACTTCTCTCGAGGCCCAGTCACCACTAGGAGGTCGAAGTATCCATGTATCTATTAACAAAGCCAGTGTGTAATAGGTCTTCAAATTCTCCCGACTTACTTCGGCATATTGCTTTGCAATGTGTTTAGCAATAAGCGTGAAGAGCGCCCGGAAGTCTGTCTGGTCCTCTCGCACCTCAGCCTTGATCGCTGTCTTTGACAACCAAGCCTTAACTAAAGCTGCCAGTTTCCGCAAGAGAGCTTGATTTTGCAATCTATTAGCTTCTTTAAGAGCCTGGGATCGTCTCCTTATCAGGCTTGCTGACTCGTGGATCTCGGTCCAATCTTTGCTGTAGAGCTTTATTAATACGGGTGTAATACGGTCTTGCATTTGAATGTGTGAGAAGTGCGCTTTGTTTTAAATGTATTACTGACGAATAACGTAGTCCACAAGTGACCCGCCCACACAAGTGACCCGCCCACTTCCCCGTCATTTTCGTACAGGCCATCTTCTTTCCCCCTTTTCTCCACTAGTAATTATGCAACGGCAATTAATTGAAGGCGACCTTATTCTGGCGCTAAATGCGCTCCATTCTGACCCAAAATTAAGTGTACGAAAGGCTGCACTACTCTATAATGTATCCCATGCGACCCTCTCACGACGACGGAACGGCCAAGCTGCGAAACGCGATATCCGACCACCCTGCCAGAATTTGGCCTCGTACGAAGAGGACAGTATCATACAATACATAATCGACCTTGATTCGCGATCGTTTCCACCCCGACTTGGTGGTGTTCGAGAAAGGGCGGATCGACTCCTCCGCGAACGCGACGCGCCACGCGTTGGAAAGAACTGGGCTGCAAACGTCGTACGACGACGACCTGAGCTCCGTACGCGTTTTAATCGAAGAATCGACTACCAGAGAGTCCTCTGCGAGGATCCGGACGCGTATCGCGCGTGGTTTGAGCTCGTACGAAACATAATCGCGAAATACAGGATCCACGATGACGACATCTACAACTTCGACGAAACGGGCTTCGCGATGAGTAAGATCTCCGCCGAAACTGTCGTTACGACCTCCGATCGACGCGGGAGGCCAAGAGCCGTACAACAAGGCAATCAGGAATGGGTTACAGTAATCCAGGGTATCGCGTCGTACGGCTACTCGATCCCACCATATATCATCTTCGCGGGGAAGGTCCACCTCGACTCCTGAACCGCGAATAGCCCTCTACCGGCCGACTGGGTAATTGCGCTTTCAGAGAACGGCTGGACGACGAACGAGAGAGGTCTAGAATGGGTAAAACACTTCGATTTCCATACGAAGAGTCGTACGAAGGGCACCCACCGCCTCCTCATCCTCGACGGCCACGAGAGCCACCATTCCGTCGATTTCGAGCTCTACTGCAAGGAACAGAACATTGTAACGCTCTGTATGCCTGCTCACTTATTACATAAGCTCCAGCCTCTCGATGTTGGGTGCTTTAGCCCTCTGAAACGGGCGTACGGTAAAGAAATCGAGGGTCTCATGCGGGCGCATATTACCCACATCTCAAAGGAGGACTTCCTCCCAGCCTTTTATAAGGCGTACGACGCTACGATAATAAAGTTAAACATCTAGGTAGGCTTTAGAGCAACTGGCCTAGTACCGTACGACCCGAATTCTGTGATTTCGCAGCTAGATATGAAGTTTCATACGCCGACACCGCCAGGTTCCTCTGCTGGACTACCACCCCCATGGGTTTCAAAGACGCCGAATAACCCAATTGAGGCCGAATCGCAGACGGAGTATATCAAAAATCGCATCGTACGACACCAGAATAGCTCTCCGTCGTCCATTATTGAGAGCCTGCGGCAGCTGAATAAAGGAATCACAATGATGGTACACGAGCAGACCCTTATGCGCCAAGACCTCGCCGAACTTCGAGATGCAAATGACCGCCTTAGCCGCCGTCGTCGTACGAAAAGAAAACAGCTACAGAAAGGAGGGTCCCTAACAATTGATCAGGCAAAGGATTTGAAGGCTCAAATCGACGCGACGGAGCAGTTAAGGGCGGAAACGAGTCAGAATACTAGTCGTACGAGGAGGCCAGAAACGCGCGCGCGACGATGTGGCGTCTGCGGTGAGCCCGGCCATAATGCTCGTACGTGTCAGAAAGTTGTATCTGCCTCTGAAGAAGAGGATTCCTCATAGTTTCAATTGATTTAAGGCGTTGTGGTTGAATTCTCTTATACATTGTCGTACGAGCACCCGGAAAGTGTCTCATTCACTTGGGTGTCTCAGTCACTTGTGGATTACGTTATCTAGCTCTGCAATATATCAACTTCCTGAACCAGGAGATGCAGGTCGATCTGTATTGCACGGCTGGCGAAAGCCACTTCTCTTTCGGCGTGGCCGTCATGTTCGCTCTATCGCTCTCGCACCGGGACAGCGATGGCTAGTTCTCATCGTCCTCCCCACTACAGCACTGGTTGAGACCATGTTCATTGCCTATCGTAGCACTATTTATGTTCGGATTCTGCATAATCTCTCAATCTCGGAACTCAGGGTATGAATCCCTGCATAATTGTAACTGGACTGATGGATCCCTATGACCCTCTCGCCGGAATGTAGCGGTGAGATGTCACGGTGGCGTGAGGGACGTGAAATGCGGCTGTTTCTTGGCCTGAACTTATCACACGACAGACCTCAGCGTCAGGGCTACTGGGTGAGGTTGGAGAGCGACCCTTATCCTTAAACCGTAACCGTAACCAGACTAAGGTGACATCGATTCTGATGATAACACCATTGACAGTACCAGAAACCGTAACCCAAACCGTAACCCAAACCGTAGCCAAATCAAAGCAGTGTCGACCGTGCATACCTCCACGTCCCTCTCATTCTCTCGAGGGACATGTCACGTCCCATGTATGGTCTGTTCATGTAGTAGATCCGTCTGAATCCAGCCCATTTCCCCCGCGAATTTCGGTCTATTTTCAGCTTGGGAATTCCCCTGAATTCTGTCTACCTATGGCCGGCTCGTTGATTGCTTGCAAGTCGAAGGACAGTACCTCCTAGGTGGCCTTGCTTAAGACAGGCCGTCGAGGCAGTTTCCGTGAAGTGGAGGCTACGAGGGCGAATGAGGGCGAATGAGTCGAGAGACTTGTTTTTGAAGCTGTTCAGGTTTCTATAAATCCACGCGAGCCCCTGTCCCATATCGACCCGGTTAGAGGAGAACCCACGGCACATAGTCTCGGCAGCACTACTTAGGTATGGTCGACAGATAATGTGTGCCGGAAACCGTGCCAACGAGGCCCAAAAACGATCACTAAGCAACGCTGATACAATGACAATTTGGGTTGCTTAAAATGACGTAAGCGTCAAAAATCTAAGCGCCTCTACACAATCCTGTCGAAGCCACCACACCTCCACTATTCCGAATCTGTGAGCACCTTGGCAGGCCACTGCACGAGATGAGCGCATGGAGTACAAACCCGACACCAAGCTATAGCACTTGAGAAAGCCGCCACGTTATACTTAGCCAAAAGGCGATCACAAGTCGGCATATTGAGAAGCTGCAAGAAGGCCTGCCAGGTGTGTGAACGTGGCTATCAGAACTAAGACATGGAAAATCTGATGGCTAGCTCCCACAAGGTCGAACCTATATGGAGACCATCTCTCGGGGATCTGCAACCAGGACGTCAATGTTGGGTCTTATGCAAAGAATCGGAGGCGAAGTACCCTTGAGGCATAGACAGCTGCGGCAATCAGATTAAGCGACATCGTACAAGCCAGCCACCCAAGGGACAGATGATTTCTCAGAACGGCCCAGCCTTTGATTTGAAGGCCATGTAACAGTGATGCGAGTGAACCCAAGCCGGATGTGCTGTAGACAAGTACACGCCACTTTCTAAAGGCAGAAAAGCCAAAGTTATGGCCAAAGATGAAACCCACACTCATGACAGCCGTGATGATATTCTTGAAACCAAAGGGGTAATCAGATACGCTGAGAGGAACTGCTGGTAAGAATAACATACAATGGAACTGTAGAATCTCTGCAGGTCCGGGAGGCCGGACAGGCTGTTTGCACTTCAATTGCAAGGAGAGGGGATGGCAACTTTCTTGTCCTAACTTTAACCTCTTAGCAACCCCTTACCGTTTCCAACTCTACTAAAACAACCCACAAAATACCCCGCGGTCTGGACGGGCGCGCAAACTGTAAGGCGAAAGCTGTCGTAATCAACTAGTCATACGCATAGAACAGAAATACACCTGACATATTATCTTCCCCTCGATCGGACCCTCTCCATTCTATTATTGATGACAGTGGACAGCCACCCGCCGCAAGCAGATCATCATTGTCTAGCGATGGCGATACGCTACGAGGCCGACGGGGGTTGCACCGGGCGTCAGGTCGGACTGCTGAGCTGGCCTGCGGCTGACGGCCGTAGTGGCCAGGAGCATCGCATGCTCCTCTATGCATCGTGCAGGATCGGGATTCGGCCGGACGACGGCATACGGCTCCACTTCTGGCGGACGCACCGTCTCAAGGGCGAGGCAATACACCAGATTGTCGACTACAGCTACGCTGCCGAGCCAATCGCGAAGCCGCACACCGTACCAGTACCAGCCGACGGATCGCCCTATATAGAGCAGCTACCGGTCGTAGACGGCTTCAGATGCTCGGACTGCCGTTTCCTAACGACGAGCCGGAAACTAATTAGGGTCCACCGCTCGCAGGCAGGACACGACCACACAACTAGCTGCCGTGGTAGTAACAGCGGCTGGACTGAGGTACGGCTCGAGACCCTGTCGCCGGGGAGCAATGCCCGGTACTGGGTACTCGAGCAAGGACATGCCGGAACGGCCAGCTTAGGTGCTACCGCCTCTACTCCTACTTCTGCGCAGCCTATAACAATCGAACGCCTCGCAAGATACGAAGCTGAGCGAGCTACGGAGCTAGAGGAAGTGCGGCGTACAGTCGCTATTATCAAGGCAGTCGGTTCCCCATCTTGTGCAAGTCTGCGTCTCTAGAAGACGACATCAAGCGCACTTCACTCAGGATCATCCCCAGTATGCCAGTTTCGCCTCTTAATCCCCCACCGCAAGCCGAATCTTGTTCGGTCTCAGCGCATGTTGCACTTCAAGAAAAATGAACCCGCGCCAGTGAGATAAACAGCGACACCAGCGATCCCTGCAAGCCGGAATGATTTTGAAGTCCTGCTTTCGAATGGCCGTGATCGTGCTGGCAGAGCCGGTAGCATTACTAGTGGAATGTCCGAACGCACACAACTGCTATGTCTCAGGAATGTCTTCAGTCACAGGACTGTCTAGCATACTCCCAACTCTCAAATTACTGTCGCCATCGTGATCGCCTAGGGATACTACCCAAGAGTTTCTTCTCATTAATTGGGCAGATTTTGAGCCTATAGGTTTCCATCGATTGTGAGCGGGAAGCCCACAGGCGCCAGAACATGGAGTCACGGTTGAATCAGCTAGTTGATGTCTCCCATTAGTTCATGGGGGGACCGATAAACAGATGCTGGCGGCTACGTGGACGATTACCTCTCACACAAGTCCAAAGCTTCCGCACAAGTCGTAAATAGATTACAATCACACTACCGGACAAGAACGGGATATCTAAAATGTCCTAAAAACCGAGAAGGCTACAGTGACCTATATGACCCACACGACCTTGGAGCTAGTGCATTGACTTACCGTTACCATAAGAAAGTATCTCTCCATACATTTGGATGCGCTGTCACATGGGGTCAAATAATGGGAGGTAAAGTTGTGATGCATTCAGAAGGTCTGTGGAGTGGAGGGTACGCGCAGGTGCAGGTGGCAGAGCGACCTGCAGTGCACTGACTACCTGATGGCAACCCCACTCCTGTGCTGTTAGCTTATCGTACATGAGTGGCGTAGGCAGCCATATGTGGCTGCCACCCTCCTTCTGGCGCATCACATTTGTAGTCGAGAATGTGCTGTTGTCCCCGCAGGGTTTGGCGGCAATCTAAAAGGGCTTAGCGTAGTTGCCGCTTTGCTACTATACCTAATCTGGCTCGGCCGAGAATACATAAGTGAGCTCTCATTCCCATCACTTTCTTGTACACTTGACTTCGTTCAACCTTTCTCTCATCACGCCATGCCCTTCAGCTCAGATGATCCCCTCTCTTTCATCTCGCTCCGCCACCTCCTATTCTCTACGAGCCCCCGCCGCGCAAAAAAGATCACTATCTAGAGCCTATCACATCGCGGCTTCCACAGATTTATCATCGAAAGTTGTCAGCTCGTTATCAACAGCCTGGATGATCACATGGAAATCAATCGTGGACTTAGGAATGAGTCATTGAGAGCGTATCTGCATGATTATCGGCTGCAAACACGTCAGCATTAACACAGTCTTCGTCGATACGATGAAGCCCGCGGGATTCGGAACTCGGAGCGCTCATCTCAGTGTCTTTGACAGAACCGCGGAACCGGCCTTGAAGGAATAATGGCACATCGCAGGCTTGTCTGTATCTCGAGCGTCTCTAGGAAGATCACATTTGACAGACTGGCCTCTTCGGTTAATCCAGCTTTTGCCGATGTGATATTATGTTTATCTCGTGGTCATTCGTCGATCGGACTTGACCGGGTATCGCGGCGTCCAGTAACATTATCTCCTGTACTACGTGGGCTCTTTTGGAAAGGGGCGGATGTATCAGCCCCCGGCTTCTGGGGAATCAAAGAGACCTGGCCAGAAACCCACTAAGAAATGAGGTTCAGTGACATATACAATGTAGCTACCGAGTATATAAGCTACAGTTCACCTCATGCTGAACGGATTGACACTCCTCTTTCAATCACTGCCTTTCACTCATTACCGCCTTATCCTTATTACCATGCATATTACCCTAGATCATCAAGAGTTCTATATTCCGGGCTCAGCTAATGCTGATGCTGGTACATACCAGCGAACGAAACGGAAAGCGCCTGCCTCTTGGACTTATCCCTCTCCTCCTCCTCCTCCTCCTCCTCCTGCTGCTGCTGCTGCTGCTGCTGCTGCTGCTGCTGCTGCTGCTGCTGCTACTGCTAGTGAATCCAGCCAGCGACTTTCCAATGTCTCGAACCCAGTTGGTAGTCGACAGCCGGACCACCCTAGGAGCAGCTGGGAAGATCAACAGCCAAGATATGGCAAAGCCGAATGTTCATTATTTGGCTCAAGTAGATCAGCGGTCGAATATAGCCTGCAACGTACGTTCAGCTCCTACAGCACCTTACCACAGTACATCATTCGTGCGAGTCGGAGAAGCAGTAACTAACCTAACGCACGACTCGTTCAGCATTTCCCAAGTCTCCTCGGCTGGGTTTTGAGAGCCTTCCGACCCAGAATGTAGCTGAAACGCAGCAGGGCGCTAATGACATTGATCAAAGAAATATAGATCCTATCCTTGCGGATAGCCAGGGTCTATCTGCGAATGCACGCCAGTTGTCTGGTATGCTCATCCTAAAACGATTCGTGCCCACGAATTTCAAGTATTCAGTGAACTAAAGCACCTCTAGTCCACATAGAGGAGCACGATAGCCACAGGAGAGATAATCCCGAGCTCAGCCTAGGATGCTTCCCGTCTACAGCCATACGCCAGACGACAAGTAACAGATTACTCGCAACTCCATCCGCGATCAATATCGACCAAGAGCCAGTGCTGGTGTTTGACGAAGAAGACCACGAGCTCGGCCTTACTGTTGGTGAACAGATCTCCGACGACAGTTCTCAGGGGGACTTCAGCAACTACCGAGACCCCACTGCAACCCGATCGCATAGCGCAGTCGCGTGTCCGCAGGGCCGTCCGGAGTCAGCTTGGCCGCTTACGCAAAGATCGACATCACCAGAGCATGGTCATCAGCAGCAGATCAGTGCCGAGCAGATGGCAGTCTCCAAGTCAAGCTCTGTTTTAGCGGACCTTCCACCTAAGGATACGAGTACAGGGACATATGAACAATGGGAACTACATCATGGGTTGTTGAGTCGTATTACACTCGGCTCCGAAACGCACTTTCAGATACAATTTGCATGGGATCACAACACAGATGGCCATATCCGTCCCGGGGACTGGGATCTTCCAAATGCCCACCTACAATCTACCGGCGACGGTACCCTCAACCTGTGCTTTTCTCGGGACGCTGGAGGGGAGCCGACCAAACATCCTTCCAAGAAGCGTCGGCGCTCCTCTAAGACGGTCGAAAAAGCTAAGAAGGTCAAAAATGCCAAGAAGGTCGGAAAAGCTAAGAAGAAGCAGTTAGCCGTTAATACGGGTAAGTCCTTCACTACAGCTCTGACATCTCGATCGTGTACACTAATTGACAACACCTTAGAAGCTGATGACCAAGAAGATGACCAAGAATATGAAGTTGACTGCATACTCGAGAAATACAGGAATCAGTTCCTCGTCAAGTGGATGGAGGGCAAGCCGAGTTGGACGACAAGAGATAAGATCAATGCAGACCTCAGAAATGACTTCGACAATGTCTTTAAGGGTTATGGGCGCGGAATTGAACTCCTCGAGGTCAGGCTTTCCAAAAAGCGTGTCAAAGAGTACCGTGTCAAGTGGAAAGATGATGAAATATCTTGGGAGAGAGAGGGACAAATCGACTGGAGCGTGTACAAAGGTGAGACACCTAGCTTGGTTGTGAAGCAATCAGGGAGGAGAAGGCACCGGAGGAAGATAGCCGCGATCGTGGCTGGCCCATAGAGGTCCTTGCTTAGTTTCTTCCCTTGGTTCTTCGGCGAACACAGAGAGGCTCTAGGATTGATCTTTTCTTTAGATTGTTCTATTATAATCGCACTGTTCCGCACTCAATTCAGGTATATACAAGATGGGGCATGTAAATACCGGGAAACTGACTGCCCATAACCGGCCTCGAGGTCTGCTTATGTTACGACTGCTATGGTGTTCTGACTTCTGACCACCACTTGTAGAATGCATCGCAACATCACGTTACCCTTCACTAATTCATGTTCGTTTCCCATGACGTTAGAGGATCTTGTAGTTTCAACTTCCCGGCTTATTTACCTAGTAGACCACCCGGCCGTCAGAGGCTTTCAGTATACCGTCCAGCCTCATGCAAGTTTCTCAGTAGAGCTTGCCACGGTTTAGGGTACTCGGGTTTCTCATATGGTGCTCAATCCCTCCAACGACTGAGGAGGCGCTGCTCAGGCACACCTCGTATTGCTCAGGGACCGCTCAGGGACGGCTTAGGCTGCTCAGGGGCTACTCAGGGACGGCTTAGGCTGCTCAGAATCTGCTCAGGTAAGACTCAGGGTAACCAGGGATTGCTCAGGATACTCTGGGGACGAGCCCAGGACGATGTCACATTAGTCAGCGTTGTTTGAGCGACACCATGTACTTTGGAAATGCATCTTTGCGTTTCGCCAAATCTGGCGAAAGTGCCTTGGGGGGCTGACCGTGCTGTCTCCACGTATGAAAGCCTAACGCATGAACTTAGTGAACCAGATTATTGCTAGCCCGCTACTTCTAGCAAAACGTTCATGCTACATGAACCGCAATGCAAAACTGCCCTTCCTCTTAGGCCCGCGATCCTAGGATGTGCTATCACCCTATACAGAGGACGGCGTCCATCGCAGGCCAGGAATGGACAAATCTCGCGCCTGCCAATCACGCCCGCATCTCCTTCAGAAGCCAAGTTGGTTCATTGGCTGCTACAGACCGCGAGCCAAATTTGGCGCTCGTCAGCCTCAGGTTCGCTCGACGCGGATAACAACAGAACTATTGAAGCCCGAATCTCATATCGAGGGACCAATAAGCACGCTCAATTCATACTGCGACTCTATTGAATCATTAGCTGGGACGAAGCCTCCCAACATAGGTCACCACATTCGTGCGCTTTAATTTAGGAAGTACCTCTCAGTAATTCAAGCTGGCACCGCAGGACAATTATGGCGGATGAATAATCCTATCTGATTTAGACAGCGATCACAAGGCTCTCGACTTAAGAACAAATCAATCAAACAGCCCCAGGATACTACAAGCAAAAGACGCCGCCGATGTATGAAAGCCTTAAAGACAGGGAGGCAATCGGGGCCATGATCCAATGAATAGTTTTTGGAAAAGAAAGATAACGTCAACGAGGAAGGCAAAGGGTCAGTTGGGAGGTCTCGCATGCATCCACGCAAGCGGAATTGTGGGCCCAGAGCGTGCTCAAGCTACGATCGCGCTAGGAGTTTGCTGCCCCATACTGTAGTGCAGCCGGGACGAAAGTGGCGTGAGCAGAAAATGGCTCCTGCGCGAGCAAGTGGTCATGAGCCATTATCGACTGCAGTCGGAGATGGTACCATGCCGCTCTCGATACAGCGCCAGGAGGTGATTGAGTGCCAGTGACTTGAGCATGGTCAATGACAGTCCTCCTCGGCTCGATGTAGTAGCTGAGCTGGCGCAGAAGCGCTACACCGCTTCAGAGCCCGCATGGGGATGCTTAATCAAGGTGTACCGCTGGGTTGTCGACGGTTTTACTGCGTACTACCGTTCACCTTTCCGCTCTGCGGGGACTGCTGAGGAGTGCTGAAGGATTAATGTGAAGCACGTGCAAGTAGTTGTATGAAAGGGGCCGCCCATATAAGCGCGCATAAATAATGCAAGCATAACGGCGTTCAGAGCCGTGGATACGCTCCAGGTTGGTGTCCGGAGTGGCTCGAGGTAGCCTCTGCTGACACGGAAGCGCGTTGACTCAGGAAGTACCATAATCCGGCCCAACCACCCCACCGACGCGAACGCGTCGCGCCACCTGCAAACCCTCCCTTCTTCAAAACCACCATTTCGAGCGCATTTTGAGGTTATCATGGATGATTTTGTTGCTGGAGTGTGCGCCGATAGGCTGCCGAAGCAGGATTTCACTCCTAAGAAGAAAGCAGCTATCTGCGCCGCCCATTTCGCAGGTGTAACGCACCGCCGCATTGCCGAGCTTACGCGGGCCTCCAAGTCAACAATCACCCGCATTATCTCGGACTGGAAAAACAACGGCAACCTAGCCAAATCGCCTCGGAATGGTCGCAATGGATTCACAAATGCCCAGAGAAGGCGCGTACTAACTATCGTCAAACGCAAGCGAAAAGCGACGTGGCCAGAGATCATACAAGCCATGCCCTTCCAGATCTCCAAGACATCCATAAAGCGCATCATTCACGAAGCTAAGCTACGTAAGTGGAAAGCTCAGAAGAGGATTCCGCTATCTAAAGAAGCACGAAGAGCTAGGCTTGCATTTACAAGAGAGTGGCTACCAAAAGTCGACGAATTGCAGGAGGTAACGTAATCCACGGGCGAGTGGCCCATACGGGCGAGTGGCCCACCCCAACCAAGTCTTGCAGGTATCACCCTCGATAACACAGCCCCAACGCCTTAAATCAATTAAGCTCAATCGCTATCTTCTAGTTCAGACCCAAGAGTAACTATGTAACAAGTTCTTGCGTTATGACCGGGTTTCCCGCAGACGCTACAGCACCGCTGCTTTGGTGCAGATCGACTTTCACCCCCAGAGTTTTCCTGCATTTCCTGTACTACCTGAGCATTTACCTCTCTCTGGGTTACGAGATCTTGTCCCTCGCCTAGAGTCATGCTTTGGCCTTTCCTGAGACGTGTTTTTTTCGCCCTACGACGCTTGCTAAGTATTGCATTCTCGTCTTCAAGGGCTTTCATCCTTGCCTCCATTAAGGTAAACTTATGCATAATCCCCTTTGCCCCCTTCGTGAACTGCTCAACTGCTTCAATAATTGACGTTGGAGAGCTTCCCTGGTGACGAGAGATTCGACCTTTAATAAAATCAGACTGTGAACGGGCTTCTATAGCTGTAGTAGGCGTTCGGGAAGTCCATAGCTCGGGTGACCTCCGAGGCGTCCCTGGGGGCGTTGGCGTCTTGAACTTTACATCGAGCTTAGATAAGACTGCTTCTGGGTCATAGGGTACAAGTCCTGCCCCTCTGAAGCCTCCCTGGATGTTTTTTTCCGTCATTGTCTGTTGGAATGCTGCTAAAAACGAGGGGAGGAAGTCCTCCTTGCTGATATGCGTTGTACCCGCCTTCATCTTGAGCTCGATTTGCCGACCGTATGCTTTCTTCAGCGGACCAAAACACCCAACATCGAGAGGCTGGAGTATATGAGACGAGTGAGGAGGCATACAGAGCGTAATAATCTTGCTGTCCTTGCAGTAGAGCTCGAATTCGACCGAGTGGTGACTTTCGTGGCCGTCGAGGACGAGGAGGCGATAATCGCCTTTTGTTCGCAACTTTATATGCTGATCGAAATGCCGAATCCAATCTAGACCAATTTCATTTGTAGTCCAGCCGTTTAGGGACGTTATAATTCTCCAGTCGCGAGGAATCGCGTCGTCTTGGTACCAGGTCGAGAGGTGATATTTGCCGGCAAATACTACGAACGGCGGGACGTAAAATCCGGTCGCGCCGACGCCGTGGATGACCGTAACCCATTCCCGATTACCCGGTTGCTTCATCTTAACGTTCGAACGTCTTTGCGCGTTTGTAACGACCATCCCGGTCGCGATAACGCCCATCTGAAAGCCTGTCTCGTCGAAGTTGTAAATATCGGAGTCCGCGACACCGTATTTCGCAACTACGTTCCGCACAAGCCGAAACCACGCGTTTATCGCGTCGGGATCCTCGCACTGGGCTCTCTTATAGTCGTACTTGCGAAAGAAACGCGTCTGGAGCTCTGGTCGTCGTTTAACAAAGGTTGAGGCCCAGTTGATTCAGACACCTGGCCTGTCGCGCTTCGCGAGTAGTTGATTCGCCATTTCTCTAACCTCACTTAGCCGAGGAGGATATGCTCGCGCATCCAAGTCGAGAATGTATTCGACAATCTTCTCCTCTTCCAGCTTGGTTAATTTTGTAGAATTCGGAGGGCTTTCGCGTCGGGCAGGTACTCCCTTCTCTCGGCGTCGTAGGGTTGTTCGGGGGACGTTGAACATCTCGGCAGCGCGTCGGGTGCTTAAGTTTGGGTCGTTTTCCATTGCTTGGATAGCAAGGAACAATTGACTCTCTTTAGAAGGCGTCTCCATCTTTCGTGGTGGAATAAACGCGTGAAGAAGAGTTGGATTCGGTATAGTGAATGAAAGTGGGCCACTCGCCCGTATGGGCCACTCGCCCGTATGGGCCACTCGCCCGTGGATTACGTTACGTGTAAGTGAAGTTGGTGGGATTATGCTGACTTGATCTAGGTGATTTTCACGGATGAGTCGTCCTGCCAGAACTCCACGAACGCACCCGCGCAATGGGTATTCCGCTTCCCAAGCGAGAAATGGGACGACCAGTTCGTTAACCTTAAATCGCACGTTAAGGCGAACCTATCCATTATGGTTTGGGGTGCCATATACCTGAAGAACGGCGTGGGGTGCCGGTCAGAGTTGGTGATAATGCAGCGCGAACCGCAGCCAGATCCCAACAAGCGAAAGAAGGGCTATACGGCCTGGAGTTATCAGAAGGCATTACGCGATGGCTTCATCCCAATATACGACGATTGGCAGGTATTTCAGCAGGATAATGCAGCAATTCATTGCGCAGAGAGTACTATGGATTGGCTCGCCGTCAGGGGCATTGCGGTACTACCAGACTGGCCAGCACACTCGCCAGATCTCGACCCAATTGAGCACATTTGGGCCTCAATGAAGCGCCAGCTAGTAAAACTGTTTCCAAACATTATGGCACTCAAAAGAAACGACGGTGATACCTCCCAATTTGAGGAGTGTTTGAAGTCGGCGTGGGCAGCAGT